TAGCCTCATTCACACTGCGCTAAACAATGGGGTGTTCTTTTCTTGCACATTGAGCAACATGGGCTGGCATGTCAAAACGATCCGCCTCTCGAGGCGTAGCAGTAATATAGAAAGCAATTAAGCTTATTATTATCGATCGTTACTGCTGTGTGGGTCAGCAGAAAAAGGTTATGAACAAGGGTGCACATAACTGGTACGCGGGTACGCATGTGTGACAGAAATCAGAAGTGCGTACTATCACTTGAGTTAGTCAGCCTGCGTACTTCACATAGACCAGTCCTTGTGCAGGGAACATACTGTTGTTTGCTGTACGTACTCGAATAGCATTCCGCATCCTCCTGTAGCAATCTGACCCGGGACAGCTGCGGCCGGTTTGTAATGACAGCAAGAATAGGTTCTTGTGTTCTAATTGTTTTATTCTCTCATCTGTAGTTTGAGAATTTACAATTTTGATGACTGCTGTTTTGAATTACGGCCACACAAATAAAGATTGAAAAAAAGAGATTCCGTAATATCAGTGCGACTGTTTATTGTTTACATTCATTTTAGAACGTGATTGTTCATTGGTTGAAATAGGATGAAACAAACCCTTCAAGAGAAGCAAAAGGAAGGTTCCAGAACATCCCTGTCCTAGACCCTTTCTCCTCGTCGCGCAGAAGGAGGAGGTGGTGTGGATGAGTCAAAACATGTTTATAGTCAGTGCCAGAGATCAAGAAAAGCAATATTCTAACCAACAAACCCTTTTACTGTAAGCCTTTTTATGTGTCATGACCAAAGACTGTATGCAGAAAAAAAAATCTACCCTTCTTTTTAAAGCCCACTATAGTGCTCATGGACAAAGTTTTGCTCGAACTTGCTCTGGCTCGTACTGAAACGTAACCTCCTCTTGCTCACTAACCGCATGTGTCACACTCACCGATCCGTTGTTTTGCGTTCTTTATGATCCTGGTGTTTATATTGTGATATTGTCTTTGTAAATCCGTATATGAGCCATTTAAGCATTGACCAATCAGATGCCTGCATTCGTGGGGGGAAACTCCAGCTTTCCTTTGCAAACATTATAACCATAATGTCTGCCCCAGTTATGGCAAGAAGCAAAGAAATGCCCATATATGGATATTGGCTACGACAAGCTTATGTTCAAATCGGCTTCTTCTGCATTCGGCAAACCATATGGCAACGACAGCACTCGATCAGTCCATTATCATTAAACCTGTCACTTACTGTAACTTTTCTAAACGTTCAAGCAAAAAACAAAGTCATCCTCATTATTGGATCGGTTTATTCAAAGTTTGTCCTGGTTTCATGTGGAGTGACAGCGGTGGCTCTGATCAAAAGCTTGATTGCGTCTGAACCCGGAGCATTACAGTCACAAATGATCTGCTCTGGCACGAACAGAATTTCCAATCCCAGTGGAGTTCATAAAAAGACCTTCTCTGCCAAATCCCGCAGATAAAATGCCAATAAACAGGAGCTTATAAAAGGCTGCGTGCAGAGGAATGTTTGTGTAAAACCAGTTAGAAAAAATAGCAGCCTCTTTTATCCGAAGCCTTTTTCTGACTCTATTCTCAATGATTTAGCGCTAATGAACTGGCAGAGACAGAAGACCAGTGATTATCAGACTGCAGCTGTGGTGAAGGAGAGGTAAAAGTCTTTCAAGAGCAATTATGTATCCATTTTTAGGAAGCTCTCAGTCTTGGAAGACTTTGCAGAGCTCCGTCAATGAATCCGCTTATCTCTCAGGGCATATACAGCTGTCGAAAAAGAGTAGGTAACAGAAAAAGGCATGCATCAGCAGACACAGTACACATATACTGTAGACCTGTACAGGGTCAGACGAGAAAGTCTCTGCAACCCCAACCCTAACCCCAAACAAATGATTCTTAAGTTACCTATAAGTATGACATGGTATCATTTTAAAGCTAACTCTCTTGAGGAAAAATAGGCATAATGTATTGTATTATAAACATTGAACACCTCATGTAATTCGTAATAATACTAAAGGCAGTTTTGGTTCAGTTCAGTACTTATTTGGTCAGAATAATCTAAAACTCAAAAGCAGTCGTTGGGTCTCAACACCTACTTTACGTTTACTCCTTGAAGAAAGGGGTGTATATTTGTTATATAGTTCATAAATGTATATTTCAATATTATTTTTCTAACACCGTAATATATATATTTTAACCCCTAGTTTTTCTTATTTTTATGATAGGCCTTTGCCAATTTGTTGAGATGCAGTTTGATGGTAAAAAGTACCTAAAACCAAGTGATACAGATGCCCCAATGAGGCAGATTTCAGTTCCAAGCTTCAAGTAGATATAAGAGACTCAAAAAGTGATCCACCAAATGGTTGAAGGGGATAATAAAGAAATTAAAAGTCAGATGCAAAGTATGAGCTGAAACCGAACTTTTTTTTATGGACTTCGAGTCTGACAATTAAAGATAATAAATAATAATAATTTCCATAAAGGCCTTGATAGAACTGGAGGTTTACTGTATGTGCCCTGGTCAGAATTTTGGACTACTTTCAGACGAGCCAAAGCAGGCTGTAACAATAAACGTCTATCGTGAAGATACCAAAGCATGAACAATAATTTGTAGCTCATGACTTGAAACCTTATGCCTGGCTCTCTGGTCTCTAGACACTTCCCTTGGATGCATAATTGCTTTAATCACCCCATATTTGCTCCTTCACCTGAGATTTTAAAGAGAAGTTACTCAGACTACGTTCTTTTTGCTCCTATGGAATGCACTTGCTCCCTCTACCTTAGATACAGAGCCTCATCTGCCTGTGTGAATAAACGTGGAGGGAAATGATTGAATGTTTTCTCTGCTGGAATCCAGATAATTAGCCGAGTCGTGTTTAGGAAAAGATCAAGCTTCACAAATGGTAGCTAAAGATTGCGGATGCTGCGCTGTCAGCCTCAAGGACTAATTGGAGAGCGGTTTGGCTTCTGCAAGCTGTCAACTGTCAACCAGAGGCCTCTTCTGATGTCCAGAGCTGACATGTTATTAATTAAGACTTTCTGCTCGGCACACAAGATAATCCAATTACCAATAAACTTTTGTTGTTTAAAACCAAAAGTTTAAACACAGAATCCAAAAAATATATTGTATTTATAATCATACATCGGTTATATATATAGGGCTTTTCAGGACACTCAAAGACGCTTCATATGTCATTATTATTTCACTTAAGCCACAGCTGCCCTAGGGCGCACTGACAGAAGCGAGGCAACCAGTATGTGCCATCGCCTGCCCCACCACCACCCATTCACGTACACAACAGACTCATTCTAGACAATGTGGGTGAAGTGTCTTGCCTAAGGACACAACAACAGTTTGGCACTTTGCAGCCACAGCTGCCCCATTGTCCTCAGAGGTCTCCCATCACAGTACTAACCAGGCCCTGCCCTCCACAGCTTCAGAAGTCTGACGGGATCTGGCTCTTGCATGAAAGTTTGGCTGCATACATGCACTGACATGTCAAAAATAAACAAACAACTCAAGATCCGGGAGAAGACTGAGAAAAAGATGGTTGCCAAGATATTTTTGTGTTTTCAGAGTTTGGTTTAGTTTCACACTGGGCCAGAATTCAGGTTTTTTCAGAAATTTCATCTCTAATTCTAAAGAGTATTACACAAGTTATAAAATGCTCTGGACTCGTTTGCATCTGCTCCGTATAGACCTATGTCTCCACTGTAGCCTTCATCACAGTCACTTTGTTAGAACTGTTTGATTCTTTGATCTGACACAAAAACACATTGATTTTATTTTAATTAAAGTCATTTTAAAAAAATGTCTGCAGATATAGTTTTTGCAGTTCACTGAGCAGAACATGCTGTGACCAATGTTTGGACATGTTCTGATATGATACATACTGTGGCAAGGCAAGTTTATTGGTATAACACAATTCATACACAAGGCAAGTCAAAGTGCTGAACAAAAACCTATTGTCAAAAAGAACAATTCATCCAATTATACCGTTTATTGCCCTAAGCGCCAAATGCAGAATAGTGTTCCATTATCAAAACAAATGTCAGTGTAGTCGAACAAACTCAATGACTGGATGCAAGAGGTTCTGAGTTTTACAACCAGGTTTAGTCAGGCTTATATCTGAGCTGAAGTTGGCTGATGTGGATTTGTGTTTATGATCTCAAGGCCAGGTCTAAATGCACCCATCTTTCTCCTGTGATCATGGACCTTTTCTGCTGCTTTTCTACAAGTCCATTCACAACTGTGTCTTCAATTACAGTGCCTTATTTGATTGTGACAAAAAATAGTGCAATGTCATTTTTTGTCTAGATCATGTTTAACGTTCTAAATCAGTCCTGTGCAAAATGCGGACCGGGGGCCACATCCGTCCCGATCCACATTTCTATGTGGCCCCCGGATCCTCAGTTGTTAAACCTCATACCGGTCTGTTGATTATTTAAAAGAATCAGAAGTTTATACTCAAAGAAGGTGTGTATTAATATGTGCTACTATGGCATTTTATATTTATTCTCTTCACATTAATGAATCCAAAATGCTTTTTAGAAATAATAGCTGTAATAAAAATAGTAATAGTAGTAATGTAAAAGCCTAGTAATAAATATATTTTTGAATACACAATAGCTCAGTAACCAATCTGAGGTTTTGTGCTCTTTATGATCCTGGTTTTCATATTGTGATATTGTCTGTGTACATTTGTATATGAGCCATTTAACGATTGACCAATCAGATGCCTGCATTCATGGGGAAAACTTCAGCTTGCCCATAAAAGGATACTGGCAACAACTAGCTTATGTTCAAATTAGCTTCGGTCCTCGGTCAGTTGCATTATCATTACTAAAATAAATTTAACAAAAACAATGTGAAATTGGGTCCGGCCTCCGCATTAGGGCGATATCCCAATATGGCCCCTTCCCCCAAAGACAATCATTGCCCACTCCTGGTCTAATGTTATGCAAGATATTTCTTCTTTAAACACTGATTTGTGTCTGTTCTACTTTCTTCAGGCTTTTCGGGACCAACGTGCCATTTCAAGACGGACGATTGAGAAAGATCGCATCAACATGAAAAGGTTATAATGAAGAACCAGTAACAGACACCTCGGAACAACACCATGTAGGCAGCGCTCTCTAAGTACCTATCCTGGACTCTGAAGGGAGGAACTAATGGAGAAGCTCAGCGACGACTTGAATCTGTCTTTCTTACTCGAGCATGAACGAGACATGATCCTCAAAGTGCTGCAGAAAGATGAGAAGCTGAGGAAGCGAGAGGAGAAACGCATACGGTCAGGTTCGCTTATCAAAAAAATCTCTTGTTTCCTGTCTTTGCATGGCTCATTTTGGGTTTGATTCTGCAGAAAGCTGAAGAACGAGCTGCTGGAGATCAAGCGTAAAGGCTCTCAAAGGCCTCGGGATGGGGGGGAGCGACAGTGCGGACGCTGCCTCAAGAACCTGGGGCTGATTTTTGACCGAGGAGAACTCTGCGAGGAGTGCCAGCTGCGGGTCTGCAACGACTGCCGCAGCGCTGCCCCCTCTGGACGCCAGTGGAGGTGCAGCGTGTGCGCCAAGATGCTGTAAGTGAAACCCCTGCTGATGAGAGATAAGCAACAGCAAACAGCAGGGGTGACATAACATGGTTCTTCGAAGTAAACATTGATGAGAAAGGGTTGGACAATATTTGGTACAAAATATTATGAGGAAAAAAAGAGGTCGCACTCCTTTATTATCTTGATATTAACTATTAAACAATTAAAGCTATATGTCATTACAAGGAATATGCTGGAAATATAACACATGTTTAAATAAATGAATATATTTTAAAAGATATATGTTCAAAAAAACTAGCAATTTAGGAATATTGATATGTTTGATGTGTTATGATTATGTTAAATATTTTTTCATGTTTTTTTTTTTATATATTTTGTAGTAAAAAAATTTTGATATAATTAAATGTGGTAAGAGTATGTCTGGTAATAAGCACTATCATGAGAAGATTTTTTTACAACAATCTACAATAAATGAAATACTAATTGCTTGGGTATATATCGTATCAAATGGAAAGTGCCTTGTATCTATGTATATCTGGTTTTGTAGCCAAAGTATCTGCCAACTCGTACCCAGCCCTGGTCCATTCCCTGCACTTCTCACTCCCAGAACAATGAAGGAGGAAAATTGTGTTTCTTTTTGCCTTTATTCAACCATGAAAATCCTACTGAGATTAAAACCTACTTTTTCAAGGCAAAGTTAAACATTAAGATTGATATATGTAGATTTAAACTTTCCATTTTGGTCCTTGCTGTGGTCAGGTCGGCGTATTGCTCCTGGAAACCAAAGTGATAAGTGTTCGGAGCTGCAGTGGTCTCTCACCAGTTAAATGAATTATGATGTGTTGCCGTCGACAATGTGCCTCAGGTGGCGAGGAAGATTAGGGCGAATGCTGCAAAATGGCTTTTAATCGGAGACACTACCAAAGGACTCAGTAGTGTCTCTATCGTTTATATTTGTTCCTATATATTCGGCCCATTGATAAAATATAGCCATCAGACACCAAAGTTTAAACTAAAGTAAAGAATTCAAACAATCTGGGATGGATCACTTCAAAGTTGATTCTGGCTGGATTTTATTACAGGTCCCTAAATCTTATTTTCAGTAAAAGTTTCCTCAAAGGGAACAGTTGGTCATTCTATAGCAGCTTTTCCCTCGGAGAGCTGCTTTATTTCAGGACAACGCTGGCAGAGAGCTACTTCTTTTAAACAGTCGACAAAAGGTTGTGCTACAAAATAAGTGGTTTTTATTTTGATTTGAAAGTATTCTTAAAACAATGGAACAACCAGCTTTGGTTTCATTTCCAGCACAGATAAAGCAAATGTATTACGCGTCCTATTGGGAAATCTTGTTTCAAGGCCCTATTCAGTTTAGCCAAATTTGTTCAATTTCCACCCTTTTTTGGGTTTGGTAATGTTACACCCACAAAATATTCTATCATAATAAATATATGTAAATTATCCTTTGGGGAGCTACTTTAAACAGGGTATAGCTCCAGAGCTGTAGGTTGGAGACCAAATTCCATAGCCAACATCCAGACAACAGCGAATCCCTCCTTTAAACAGTATTTACCAAAGAACATGTGGGCGACTTTGAGCTTGTCCCTACTTATAGTTAGAGTAAATGAGTAATCAAGTAAATAAGTAATGTTTATTTATGAACCAAAGTCAACCAAAGCGCTTTACAATGTTCAGATGTTCTCCATTCTCTCCACACACGGTGATGACAGAAGCGAGACGCTGAACACACTGGCATCAAAGCCCCCAACCAACACCATCCATTCATTCACTTACAATCATACCTATTGTACATGGTTTTAGTGGTAAGGGAAACCGGAGCACCTGGAGGAAACCTATGTAGATACGGAGAGAACATGCAAACTCCACACATAAGGCCTAAAGGTGGAATCAAACCCAGACCCTTCTCGCTGTAAAACACAATCTCTAACCGCTGTGCTACTGTGCTGCAGATGAGGCATTAGAGGCCAAAACTACAGAACTTTGGCTTCACAAAGAGTCATAAAGAATAATTTGAACGGGTAACAATCTTTTCAATTGATTCAGATACAAATAGGCAGACCGTAAAGGGTAAACATTGCAATTTTCTTCCTCAAGGCGATTGCAAGTCGTTCAAAACTTTAGAGAATGTATGAGTAATTTGCATTTCAACATAAAAAAACACAAACTTTTTCTCTTTCGTCCTTCATTCTCGCCCACACGCACACGACCAACACACAAGAATTTTACCAACCAAGCCGCACAAGCTGAGAGCGAGTGATCATTTGGAATAATGTTATTGATCGACGCAGGCAGCAGTCTGGAGACCTGAGGGGATGTCTGAATGATGTGGTGTTTGCAGAGAGCTGAAAGTGGTGACGGGAGAGTGGTTCATGGAGGAGAGGTCGAAACGCTTTGACGAGGGGCTTTTGAGCAGCGATGTGATAAAGCAGAACATTCTCAGCAGCCCCGCCGGTGAGTTCCATTTCCATTGTAAATAAAACGTCACAATGGTTTTGGTCATTGTCGTTCTTTTGCCGTTTCAGTTGCAGACAAAAGGTCCACCGAAACTTCTCCGGGCTCCACTGAAACGGAGAGGTCTGAGACGCCCAAGTCGACCAAATCGTCCAAATCTGCCAAAAGTGCAGTGCGTCATGTTGTGGACGGGGTCAGAAGGAAAGGGTGAGAAGAATACACAGCTACTATATATCAAAGTCTTTTATGAGTTACAGTTGTGGTTGAAAGTTTGCTCAGCCAGGCAGAAATGTCACTGTTCAGGATTTATTTTGGAGAGTATGAATGATGACACAAACAACTTTTCTTTAACTATTGCCGCCGGTTTTGTGAGGTCATATATTCGTCAAATGCATATATTTCATGGGTCCTCTCTGTCATTTTGGAGCAAAGCACTTTCAAAATCATTTGTAATAGTATTAAAGTAGTCGATTATTGATGTGTGCAACTGTTGTATTTACAGTATATTAATCTGATCTCAATTATGGTCAAAAGATTACATTTCTGCCTTTGTGTGTCGTGAGTCTGATCATTATCGCTGCAAAAACTGATAGAATATGAGGTAACAATTGCTTGAATCAAGTGTTTTTTATCTTAATTTGAGTTCATTCTGACTGTCTTCAAACATGATTCGCAAATGGAACAAAAGCATTTAGTCTTCAATCAATCAATCAAATTTTATTTATAAAGCGCTTTTCATACATAAGATGCAACACAAAGTGCTTTACAGATTGGTTAAAAATTGGTAGTCTTATTTCAAGAACTGATGTTTTATTTTCTCATTCCAAGGCAAACATTTTAAAAGACAATCCTTTTGTCTTTCACTTTGGCATATCTTGTTTTGAGGCAGTCAGAATGTGCTCAGATTAGATTATAGATTATTACATTTGACCAAATTAGAGCAACTTTTGACCATCACTTTTTCATGTGATGAACTTTTTCATCACTTTTCTGCAGTGTATGTTAAAACAAAAACAAAAAAACTTAATTTCTTCTTCAATCACCACATTCAAAAATGAATATTACATATTGATATACAGAAAGATGCAAATACATGAATGACCGAAGGCCATTTTGCTTAACCCCAATTTCTGTGACTCTTTCACAATATTACATAATCTATGGATACTCACAAATCCGTCACAGACATCACATGGAGAAACAAATTAAAAAGCAAGAGTAATGAGAAGAGGAAAAAAGTATATTGTGGATATTGTGGTTTCTCCAAGAATCTTGGAGCAAATGAAGGACAAAAATGAGTCCAAGTTAAACATTCTCTTCAAATCCTGAGGCGACACCACTTTGACATTCAGTTTTTCTGTAGAAAGGGTAATCAAATTTAGAAAGTAATCCCCCTGGACATTGTAAAGGTTAATTTGGGGAAGAAACAAGTGTGTAATGGTGGTGCTTTTCTGTGTTAGTAAGATGAAGATGGATAAACGGGGCAGTCGGCCAAACCAAAAGCCCGAGAACGGAGTGGACGGCGTGAGTCTGAAATCTGCCTCAGAAGGAGACGCTCGCAGTCTGCACAGCACTCGCTCTGCTCCCACTCCTCGCTCCAGGTCTGACCGTCCACAAACATCCTCTTTACAATTGCACTGATGCATAATGAAGGGTAATTATGTCAAAGGGACAGTACACTGCAAAAAATTATCACATATGAGGTAATTATCGCTTAAATCAATTGGTTTTAATCTTAATTTGAGTACATTCTGGCATTCTTAAAACAAGATTTGCCATTGGGACAAGCTGTTTAGTCTTATTTTAAGAATTGTTGCATTTTGTTCTCATTCCAAGGGATACATTTTTCTTGTATCTCTTAAAAACAAGATAATTCCGCTTGTCCCAGCTGGCAAATCTTATTTTAAGGCAGTCAAAATGTGCTGAAGTCAAGATACATTTCAGTCCAAATTTCAGCAATTTTGGACTTATTTTTAACAACTTTTTGCAGTAGTATTTTCATTTGTCATCATTTGCATGTGTCCCCAGATTGAAGGTCACATGTACGTAAGTCATATTGGATTTGTAGATTGATTTTTTTAGTTATTCTTAATGAAGAATACTATGGACAAGAAGTCTTTAATATTCATGTTGAAGGAGATTATCCAGCGGTTGTTCTATGACAACATTTACAAACAAAAGAACAATAAGCACTCATACGTAATACTGATTCATACAGTCTAGATCAACTCCAGGAGGTGGTTTGCATTAGTAATGAGTTTGAGAGCTACCACATCACAGGTCATATAAATTGGATTTTAATTGGCATTTATTAAACCGCTAAAAGAGCTTCTCACATACGGTCCCCATACGGTTTATTATTGTTTATCATGTGTGATTAGCTTCAATCTCTAGGGTCGTCCTCTAAAAGCCTTTCTCCCATTTGGCCCATGTTGCAAAAGACACAATTCTTATCATTTGAATTCCATTAGCAATGCCTGTCACTGTCAATAATAGTCAAGATATACTAAATTGATTGTATACATTAAATATAAAACTCCAAGCAAAACATGAACCGAAGCAAAAATCTGGCCACTACCGGGGCCGATGAAAAATGCACCTTTAATTTGAGTGCTATAGATAGAGGTAGATGGATAGACGGGCTCGTACTGCGTCTACACCACAACGGAAAATAATACAGTTCTGGCACCAGGTCAGTAGTGGGCAGTGAAACGACACATGTGACCCCTAGCAGTACAACCATTTTCTCAACAACATCCTCCTCAAGCCACGGCAAAGACATGAAAGAATGCACCGACAACATTCTGCATTTAACAGTAGCTGCAAAAATGGAGACTAAAACTACAGCTTTGCCTGGTTTTGTTTGTACAAAGGAGTAGAATTCTCCGTGTGTAGCGCTTGATGCACACGTTAGCATTACTCGATCCGCCGCCATTGTTGTTTACGTTTGTTCTCAGTTACTGCGCATGTCCTAATGTACGTGTGGGGGGAGTGGTGAGGTCATAGCAGGCAGAGAATTTACACCTTTTTCTTCACACAGCGGTGAAACAGCAGCGTATCTGTTCTGTTCAACGCTTGCATTTTCACCCCCAGAAATATCATCTTCATGTAAACGAAAGGCCAATCCGATACCCAACATTTTACAGTCGCTGCGTGCTCGTGTAAACAGCACCTAATATATAGATACACGTAGATACAGTAGATTGTTTGATAGATAGATAGATTCTTTGTAAATACATGATTGATCCCTTCCTACAGAAGTACACACACACTATTGAGAAGCCTTAGCTAACAGTGAATCATATTGGACATTGCTAATGAAGTGCTGAATGTAATCTTTTGTGTTGTGTGTTCAGAGGCAGCGTGGTGGCCTTGGAGTCTTCGGGAACACCAACAATACTGAACAACCTTCGCTCACAAACTCCGGACCGAACATCCACGCCCGGCAGTGACGTGCGGAGGGTCAGGGTCAGCAGCAGACGCACACATCGCCTCCAGCCAGAGCTGCGCGGGGCCCTTATCTAACAGTGTGTTCCTCCGCAGCCCGACGGAGCGGAGAGCGTGGCCAGCGTTCACTCCAACGACAGCGCCTGCCCAAAGAAAGCAGAGGCCAATCACTGCGCAGATCCAGACGCCCCCGCCATCTCCGTGTCCAGGGCGTCTGTGTCTTCAGGTGACCACAAAGCACACACGCTATACTTTAACAAATTCACCCCTGTAAATGGGAAAGCCAATTTCCTTCCCACAGACTGAACAAACTCTAGATCAAAAGTTAGATTTGTTTTTAAAGAGAATTAAAATGCTGCCAATGTAGCTCTGTGAACATAAATTAACAGGAACATTTAGTTTTTTTTAAAAGCTTTGAAGGTTGTTCATTTGTTCTTGTTTGTGCATGTTTTTATTTTCAATATATTTGATGTTTGAGCACAGTCTACTTCATTCAATTCCCTGTATTTTTGTATAGCCCTAAATCACAAGTAGCTATCTCGGAGGACATTACAAAAATTCTCCAACACAGATCAGAGAATCAGTTCAAACACAAGAAATGCAATGATAAAAAACTAGGGCTGGGACTCGATAACAAAAAAAAATCTAATTAATTAGAGGCTTTGTGATTAATAATTTGCATATAAATATTTGTCCTGCGAACAGTGAGAAGTATTTTTTTTTTCACATGGATTTTTAGTTTACCATTGAATAATGACTGAATACATAAGCTTATTGTGGATGATCAGACGGACTTCTTTCCCATCAAATAATGTGTCTGTCATCGCCTCCACACACTCTGACCACAACATACGCTTCTTAAGCCCAAAATCCACTGCACTCGAAGTGAGCACTAAAGCTTATGAAACATTTTTGATGTGTGCATTAGAACTACAACATCAGCAAGAGCAGCTCACACACCTCCTCCTCTTTTCTATGTACTTTTGAACAAGAAAAGTCATGGAGCTCAGTTGGCGCTCCAGTATAATCGGTCAGTCTGAAACTCATCCTCCAGTGAGGAACGTTCCGCGGTTGAAAATACACATGCAATTAAAATGCGTCCATTTTTTTAACGCGCTAATTTTTGTTGATTAATCGTAATTTTGTTAATTAATTATAATTAACGCGTTAAAGTCCCGGCCCTAATAAAAACACATAGAGCCGTTGGTTCATAAGGGGCAGGTGACTAATGTCCATAAATAAGCAAAATAATAAGCAAAATAATTTAAGCAAGCAACAACTAAAATCCTCCATTCATAAATGTTGGGTTTTAGAAAATAAATGCAACTATTAAACCCTAAAGCTACCGTGGCGCAATTCTTCAGATCTGCAGTTTTGATTAGTAACAAATTTGAAAACCGTTTAGTATAATATTTAATACACAATTAAAAGTATGATCGTTATTGTTTGATTCTAAATACATAAATTAAAAAAATAAAAATGAAAAATGACAAAGCAGCTTTTAAAAAACATTTTCATTTGCCTGGATTCAAACAGTCTCTATGACATCTCACTTGTGGATCTATATTCTGGACTGAAGCCTCCCCTCTCTTTCTTCCAACGATTTCCACTTGCATTATAATTAGCTGCTACATGACTCAGGTCCTGGTTGCTCCTTTGCAAAAACCTGGATTGCCGTCATAAAGGGCTATTTTTCTGCAAACAATAGCTCGACACAGACAATGGCCGTACACGGAGGCTGCATTTATTATCAAGACTGTGACAAAACACCGCTCCGAGGAAGGATCACTTAAAGGACAAATCGGCTTTTTGTATGCCGAGAGCAGTCACCCATCCACACACTAATTACACTATTACTCTTAGCATCTGCGCCACTTCTTATTATAAAGCGCCGCACTCAATACGAACCTGTGTTTTGGCTGCTGTGTTTCGTCGCCTTGGCAATGTCACCGCAAATAGAGAGATGACTATAAGTTTACTTTCGTCACTGATAGGAAAGCAATTGTGGTAGAGACAAATCCTCATTACAGCGCTGTACTGGGGTTTGCTGTTTCGTCGCAAATTAGCGAAGTTGTCCTCTCTGTGTTTGGAATGTATTTCAGATTCAGATAAAAAAATTTGCTATTTGCAGTAAAACCACTTTGGAATACATTTGTAAAAAGTCCCCAGTGTGCATAGGTAGGTACACGGACAGGTACACGGACAGGTACACAGACAGGTACACAGACAGGTACACACAATAAAAACAAGGTTAAAAGTACAGAAGTAAATTACAAAGTGCAGGAAACAATTGTCACTGTGAAATTGATCAACAAAAACAGTATCAATACATGTGCGATCATTAAAGAGAGGGAAGAAGCTGGAACATGGCTTTTCCAGGGGCCAGAGGAGTCATTGATTATCTTTAGAGCCCGGTTTAAGAGTCTGGATTCATAAAGAACCTCCAGAACCTCCATGTTTATGTATTTTATGGCTCATTTTTTGCTCTTAATATTTTATGAGGGGGAATTTGTGAAGTAAAGTCTCAAAGCTTTTAAAGAACCTTTTCATTAAACTGAATATCTTTCATCAAGCACCAGTTTGTTTCTGAATGTTGTGAGAAAAAGACACAAGGTGGAGAGCCGGGAGACTTTGTAAGAGATAGAGGACAACCAAAAGCTATAACAGAAATGAACAAAAGCGTGCATGTGTGTGTGTGTCTGTTTGTCTGTCGGTCAGTCAGTCATCGGTCGGTCGGTCGGTGTGTGGGAGGCGGGACTTAAACCTGTCATCCCCATAAGATTGTGGAAGCCTCTCTGACTCAGGGCTAAACTTCACATGGATAATTCATATAGAAACAGTTGTACACATCAATAATATACTACTACAGATAATTAGGATATTAAAAAATAGCCCATATTTTCTACTAAATCTCAGAGAGGACACAGAGGTCTCAGAGAACCCACCATCCACCAGCCCAGAGGTCCCTGAGAGCTGATGTAAGAAATAAAGTTTTGTAGAAGTAAAAACAGCGGTAGATGTTTCATACCACACTGAAGAACATTCCAAGCCAAGAAATAATTGAGGCGAAAGTACAAAGATGCCGTAGAAGCCTCATATTTGTGTTTACCAGTCCGCGCTCTTCAAACAGCATTTCTTAGCAGTACATCCAGTTTCTTTCTCTCTGCCCTTCCTCTGACTGTGTTTATTCCTGCAGATCACAGTCGCTCTGAGATGGACCTGTCGGCTCCAGCCTCTGAACCCAGTGAGGACGCCTTCAGCCTGAGAAGCCGCTCCATCCCTGGGCTCAACGATACCGTGAGTGCGCCTGGCCCTGCACCCGGGCCCCCGCAGCCTTCAGCGCACATTAAAATCACTTGCACAAACTTTTAGAGTTGCGCTTGTACTTGATAATATACATCAGGGGTGTCAAACTTATTTCCGTCTGGGGCCGAATGGAAAAAATAGGAACTAGTCGGAACCCAATTTACTTTTCTTATAATTGTTTTTTTCATTATGAAGTTATTTTGACATATTACTTTTATGTGACATGAGATTCACTATTATATAGGGCGACAGTAGCTCAGTTGGTAGAGCATTGGCCTTTGGGCCTGAAGGTCGTGGGTTCGAGCCCACCATAAGACCTACTTCACAACTCCCACTGATGACTGCTGTCGTTGTGTCCTTGGGCAAGACACTCAACCCCACTCTGCCTGAAGCTCCCACTTAAAGATCTCAGCTCCTGTGGACTCACCACCTGCAGGAGGATCAGTGAGGGGCTGGTGCTGTGTGTACTGGGTGCAGCTCTGACTGCCACCCCCCGACCCAGAAATGGATTAAGGGGAAGAAAATGGATGGATGGATGGAGATTCACTATTATTGTTTAGTTGATTTTTCTGAAAACAAAATGTGTTTATTGTTTGGATTTAACCAAAACTGGACCAAATATAAAGTTAAACACTATGATGTGGTGGGTTAACATTTTTGAATATATTAAATCTGGTTGTTTTCCTGAGAAAATAGATGCAAAGATGTATAACACGCCTTTGTCTACCCATTACCATAAATGCTGCAAGTTTAGGGGCCCTAAAAATGGTCTTGTGGGCCAGATTTCACCCACGAGCCTGAGTTTGACATGCCTGCTATACATGACATTATGCATCACCGTCTGTGTCTGAACAGAGTGTGTGTAGGAGAAAGCTAATTGTAATTCAAAGTGTGTAATTGTATGTAAACTGGGACCAGGTGGATGAGATCCGGGGCTCTTTGTGTTTCTGTGTTTGTGTGTGTGTGTCTTCAGCTATGATCAAAGACGCACAAAAGCAAACAGCACACGTATTCACAAGACTTTACACACTGGCACCAAAATAACAAATGGTCACAGAGGCCTGACTTGTCCTGTTGGATTTATTGAAGCTGGCTGCCTCCCTCGCCCACACAGCACCACAGGGACAACAGCACTATGGTTCAAAAAGCCTTTGGTCACTTTCTCTGTTGTTTCTCTTTTGATTAGTGCTGCTCTCACTTCTTGCACATATGCACTGGCATTCTCTAGTTCAGTCCACGAAGGATATTTGTCAATGGTTGAAAACTGTCAGCGATTGCACGACATCCTACTGTGCCGAGTGAGAAACGGTGCTGGAGGTCAGTCAGGAATAATGCTGTTGAGACATATTATGCTATAGTAAAGCTTTTTGGAGCTTAGGTTACAACACAGTTTGTCATCTAAAACAGACTTACCGTTGTTTTTAGATTCATCCACAGTAATATCAGGAACCTCTGGCACAAACATGTAACTCCGCCCCTTTATGCTCTGACGTTATCTTTACCATTTTACATCACACTCAGAACATTTATCTAAGTATTGCAGCTAATTTCTAAAGTGAACTTACTTAATTACAAGCACATGCATAGCCTACGGAGTTACGTACAGATCGCATTATTATTTTTTAAATATATTTTCTAAAGATTAAATGCTGTTAAATGGCAGAGTACAGATCTGCTTTAAAATGCATAACATGATTTATGGTCTGTATCTTTAACCCATAGACTGTAAATATTAACGGACGTAGTCTATCTCCGCCATTCTAACTAATGTGCCACAACTTCACTATGACACTTTGTGGATAAAGCAAATACCAAAAGGTTCATTGTTTGTGAATCCAACTTTTCGGAGATCAGTAAAGTGTTTTGTTCTTTTTGCTGTATTATCACAAGGCATGGTTTATTTGTATAGCACCGTTCATACAAAAGGCTTGAGAAAAAATAAACATAGACATTGAAAAGCCATTAAAATCATCTCGTGTAAACAAGTCTTGTTTTCTCAGGAGTTTTCTGACGAGGAAGAGGACATAGACGCTCTGATGTCGGCTCACAGCGGCGCCACCGGACATCGTCTCAGCAACACGTTGTCCACGGTAACCACTCCCTCTGAACACCTGTCAGAAACACACCTGTTTAAAGCACACACCGGCTCCTCAGACGCTCAGTGGACTGTGTTTACTCTGCAAACACAGCTCCAGGCCAGCAACACACTCTCTGACTCATTCTCACTCGGAATGATGTGCTACTGGTTTTTATGTCAATATAAACTTTTCATAACAGTTGAGCGTGTCCTGGACGTTTCTATACACAAGCTTTAAACCAGCGGCCAACCAATTTGTCAAGGAGGCCTATTGCTTACTGTATATAAACAGCTGATATTTACTTACTCTTCAAACTAAAATATTGGTGCCAACATTTTGAATAATACAAACATCTTACCTTTGTTCTGATGCCTGACGAATATGTTTATTTAACAAAACAAATAACAGAAAACTGATAAAGATTGGGTGTGAACTGGAGAGATGAAGCCGTGGAGAAAAAGGGGATTTGATGTGACCTGAACTAAACTAATGAGACTGTGTGATAAATGTGAACAGTAAACTAACACATGTTTAAGTTTAGTTCAGTTGCATCATTGTTGTTTTGACCTGTAGGCTGGACTCGACTAATAATTAACTCAAATTAAATTTTCAAAAATATGATCAATCATTCAATAAATCAACTTTTATTTTTAGAGCCTTTCCTACACAGGCAAAACACAAAGCGCCTCACAACCTGTATCACATCATACATAAACATAAAAAATACATTTACAATCCTACAGGGTATTAAACATGAAAAAACAAACATTAAGATCACAAGAAAGTAATTAAAAGCGTTGAAATCATAAATAGCCTCAGTACATTAAAAAGAGTAAAGATAAAGTCATTCCGTTGTATTCCCAGCTAAACTGTATATATATAAATATAACAATTTTGGTTAATATTGGGGCAGATAATCGGTTGACCCCTTCTTTAAACTACATATTCATTCATTCATTCTCATCCCTTTATTGTCCATTTCTGGGTCAGGGGGGTGGCAGTCAGAGTTGCCACCCAATTCACATAGCACCAGTCCCTTGCTGATCCTCCTGCAGGTGGTGGGTCCACGGGAAGATGGCTGTTCTTTCATCACCGATACGGCCTTGATCTTTCAGCGGGGACTTCAGGCAAAGTGGGGTTAAGTGTCTTGCCCAGGGACACAACGACAGCAGACATCAGTGGGAGCAGATGCTACATAAACTACATATATTAATGCTTATTAAGATGATGAGCCCTACAGCTTAATTTAGCAATGATTCGACTGTTTACTCCAACACTGACTTAAGGAATGTACATTTTTAGTAAATTAATGAAGCAACTGAAGACATTTATAACCTTTTCTGTCTCAGATTTTGAATAATTATTGCACCGCCACATTTTAGGCAACTCATTGATTAATAAAAGGAAAAACCATTAAACTGATCAATTATGAAAATAGTTGTTAGTTCCAGTATATAATTTATAATTTGTAAATGTCAAATGTTTTTTATTTTCTGCTGATGGCCGAAGAATAAAATAATATAATCTACAGTAATATTCTTAAATTATTATCATTAATAATGGCTATATGTTTCCCATGGGGATGTTACATGTGCTCTACTTGGTTCTGGTCATTCTCTCTGCTCCGGTTCAGTGTGAAATCCTGAACTCTGCATTAGGACACGTCGCTATTCCCCAGTGCATTGTTCATAAATTATCTTTCCTCTGATAGATTTGGGGCGAGTTCTGCTTGATTTGGGTTATCTTCTCCGCTCCGGTTCAGTGTAAAACCCTGAACGCTGAACTGGAAGCCCAATTTACAAAAAGCAAAATCACAGAAACAAAGAATGCATTAGGAAACACATTGCTCTACGCCAGTGCATTTAAACAAAAAGTCCATTTCAGTTTCCCAGCTGAGACTAAATCCCCGCCACACTACTCAACACACCGTTCCTCCGAGACTTCACAATCATTTTCTCTCCACATTTTCCCCCATTTGCACCTGGACCAGATGCGAATCACATTTAATTGAGTTCTTGTTGATACATCCCTGTTGCACATTCTCGTAATTAACCACAAGCTCTAGTATTCAGATTCTGTGGTCGGTCTCTGGAGCTGTCTCTGGAGTTTTTGTGTAATTTGAGCTGATTGTAAAGAAGCGTGTCTTTATCGCGCTGTCTCACGGCCAATGGTCTGATTAGAGGAACAGGAAAAGACAATGATTATGCAGAGGAGATTATGTAAACTCACTTGACATGACTCAGCTTTTTTACGGTTATTAAGAAGCCTCGTGAGCTCCTTTTATGTAGGCCCTTTGAAAGCACTATATAAGTACAATGTATGATGTATATTTATGTTATTCTGTATTATTAGGATTATTAACAATACTAAAGGGGATGATGATGATGATGATATTATTATTTTGGAATGAATGAATGAAGCCTATATTCCGGATTCAGGATCCAACATAGACACAAAAGACAGAACATACAAGTCAAAAAGACAACATTTTCATGTGGTGAAATTAAGGAATAATGATTTAATGAAGGAAATCCAAACCAAACTCAGGAACCAGGAAAACGGACGAATAAAGACAATGGACCAGCGACACATGGGGAAGACCACTGGGTGCACACACAGAGACACAGGGGTAACACATCAGGGCGGGGCAGACAATCAACACAGGGGAACAGGACAGGAAGTTCAAAATAACTAAAAATCCATGACAAAAAGACACCAGTGTATTATTATTATTATCCAATGGCGTAGACCAGGTATCTCCAACTTTTTCCACCAAGAGAGCTACTTTCCAAGGACGATAAAGTTAGAGAGCTCCTTCTTTAAGTAGCCCTGGGAACAAATTGGTTTTATATTGCTGTGAATGAGCCTGATATTGGGTAAATTCATAATTCATCATTGCATATTTGTAACTAGTGCATTTACAATAACAAATAATGATAATGAATTATTCGCCCTTATATATAGACAGTAGCTCAGTTGGTAGAGCATTGGCCTTTGGGCCTGAAGGTCGTGGGTTCAAGCCCACCGTAAGACCTACTTCACGACTCCCACTGATGACTGCTGTCGTTGTGTCCTTGGGCAAGACACTTAACCCTACTTTGCCCAAAGCCCCAACTGAAAGATCTCAGCTCCTGTGGACTCACCACCTGCAGGAGCATCAGTGAGGGGCTGGTGCTCTGTGGACTGGGTGCAGCTCTGACTGCCACCTCCCCAACCCAGAAATGGATTAAGGGGAAGAAAATGGATGGATGGATGGATAATGAATTATACAATCTGAAATATTATGTATATTATTTGATGTGTTCATTTCTCAATCCTTTGGCGAGCTACCTGGAAGGGGGTGGCGAGCTACTGGTGGCTCCCGAGCTACAGGTTGAAGACACCTGGTGTAGACTATGTATCTGGGTTTATATGCAGTATATTTGAGTTATTTTTCTTCATATATAGCGCTTTACCACAATTCTTTACCTCAAATTCTGCTACACTTTCCTAACCCTAACCCACGGTATAAGGCTGTAGATGGATAGTTGTAAAGATTGTTGAATCAATGTATCTGCAAAATACTTAGTTATGGGTGGACATTATAACCCTATGACCATTAATTCTATTAATTGATATGATAAAAAAAATACCAATTTCACGACCACAGTGATTGTTTATACTCTTTTTGGACCATGGACTTTGACATTGCACTTTAAACCCCAGTCCGCTGATATCAATAAATATATCATGTCCTTTTTATGTCATTTTGTTTCATATCTACACTTGATCAAATTCGTATCTAGTCTCAATTCAATTACGTTCGTTTTTGTAAAGCCTAAAATCACAACAGCAGTCGTCTCGGAGAACTTTACAAAATTATCAATTTGCCAACAACAGATTAGAGAAACAATTAGAACTGATAGAATCGCCATCGGTTAATTACAAGTTTTTTTGAATTAATGCTTTTGACAGCCCTACTGTGGTTCACTGCTGTTTATAATCTATCACATATCTAGTTTATTATACTCCAAACATCTTTTTTATCTCAAATTTGAACCATATTATAGTAAATACTGGTGTGTTGAAATAAACTGCAAGCCATTTCCCAAACATTCAAATTTGGTGGAAAGACCCAGACTTGTAGAAATGGGCAGTTTGTGGTGTGTGTCCGTCATGTCCACGTCTGGAGTGTTTCCCAGATGAAAGGTATTGTCTGTGATGGGATCTGATAATCACCATGGTAACAGTGTGTAATGTGGTTTGCGTTGCCTCTTCCTGCGGGGATTTCTGCTCTCGGGGTCTGTGCGTCATCAAAAGCACTCAGCTCTGTCTCCTCTCTCTCTCTCTGCTTCTTCCTCCTGCTTTGCCCCTGGCTGATGCAGTCTTCCACCCCGGCCTCAGAGCGACGCTGGAGCTATCTCAATGTCCCAGACTCGGACGCTGAGACTGTAAGGCACTGGTCGCCACCTCTGCATGCTCAACCTTCACTCTTTTATTTTATATTCTTGCGCCTCGTCGTCCACATGTCAGAAAATGTAATCGCATTTTAAATATTAAACATCAGGTCCATGATCGTGTTTGTGTGTGAATGAATAATGTAAATAGATCGTTCAACACACTCTCAGGGAAAGACGGAGGAGGAAGATTTAACTTTAGGTGTGAAACAATAGATGATATGGACTCTTTACATGCAAAGTGACACATGTGAAGCCTTTGTTTGTTGTAAATTTGAAGATTATGGCTTACTGTCCCTTTTTAAAATATTAAGATGTTTCACAGTATTTTAGATTAGATTAGATTCAACTTTATTGTCATTACAAAGACAGAACAATGCAACAGAATGCATTTTAGCTTCTAACCAGAAGTGCAATAGCGCAAGTATAGATTAATATTTGGGGACTTTATGGCTGTGAGCCAATGATTAACATAACATTTTCAAAGCAAGGCAAGTTTATTTGTATAGCACAATTCATATGGCATAAATAACATCACAATCACAGTACATTAAAAAGAGTACTGTAAATACTGTAGGAAGAGTGCTCGCTTTGAGTTACTGAAAATTAATCTCTGTAACACTCATTTTGTGTTAAAAGTCCGCTCAGTATAATCCTGTATTTATTTTGATGTTATCTTTGTAAATCCTGATATGAGCCCCAATAAGTGTACAAGCATGAGCCTTCTTTCCCGGTGTTGGCTTTTAGTTAGCAAAGAGCACAAGCAGGAATAGTCCAACGGGATTCCTAAAATAAGAGATAAAATCATACCTTATTGGCTCTTTGGTTGCTAGGCTGTTGCTACCCACACATTTGACTCCAGATTGTACAATCCATGGAGCCTGTTTGCATTAAACTGCTTCTTCCACAATATGGCAAACACTCGGTTAGTCCACTCCATCTACAGTCTATGGGAACATTATTAGATCATTTGAAGAAAATCCCTTCAGTGGGGCCCTCAGTCTGGAACCTGCTTCTGTTCATCATCTTCATCTCTGTGACATTTTCCCAAACCTTTTTCCTTTTCCCACATTTCATTCTCACACTTTTCCTTCTTCAATGTTCCACACAAACTTATGCATCTGTTTGACGTCCGGTTTCCCTGGACTCCACAGAGCAGTATCAATAGCATGATGAGCATGTACAGTGAGACCGGTGACTATGGCAACGCCCGGGTGAGCGGCGAGATCCTGCTCCACATGAGCTACAGCTACAAGACCGGAGCGCTGAATGTGATGGTGAAGGAGTGCCACAACCTGGCAACCGGAGACGACCGGCGGCAGCGCACCGACCCGTGAGTCCTGTACGACTGTGGTCTCTGCTGCCAACACTGTGTATACTAATATTGATCAGTATACACAGTGTGTATGCTGATATACACACTGTGTATACACACTGTGCATACTGGCAGCAGAGGCTGTGGTCTCTGCTTCCAATACTTTGCATACTTTCTTTTTTTAGATTTAGGGCAATATTCTTCATAGTCGGATTGTAATTATAATGACATCCTTCTACCACTAAAGCTGTGTTCCCACCGCCGATCTATAGACGTGCGTTGATGGAGGCCTGTTTGGACCGGCTTGTTTCCCCATGACCACTTTGCTCTTCTCTGATTGGTTGCCACACGTGTGTGGAGCAAGGATGTTCATCTCCTGCTTTCGCTGCATCCAATAGCTTCTGTACCCACTGCCTCTGCTGCACCGTAACAAGGCACGAGACAAAAGTGCCTGCTGCAAAAGTGCCGTCTGCCCATACCATTCCTCGCGTGGGCGAACGGCACCATTGACTTTGCATTGAAACTCGTCGTAACACAGGATCTGGTGGGAACACAGCTTAATATGGCCTATTTCATATGGCTCCTCCGGTACTGCTAATATATGTATTTTTATTGTGGTAAAGTTGACAGAGCAGAGATTATAGACTTATAATTTTGACTCCATTAAGAGTTAGTAGCTGTAGGACACTTGTTTATTGTCACAATAGATGATGGTGAACGGTTTAGCTGTTAAACACCTCGTCTTTAAATCATGTGACAGTTAATAGTCGTCTATCTGCTACATTACAACATGAAAATCCGCGGCTAATATTCAGGTGCAGCTTAAAGATTAACAAAAAATGTAGGTGGTGCGGCTTATACAGGTGGTCATTTGGTCAAAGTACCTACCTAACGTGAAGAAAGAGTTACAAACAAGCTTTCCTTTTCGACAAGAATGGAATCCCACTAACACATGCATTTTGTGCCAGATATGTCAAAACCTACCTTCTCCCTGACACGTCCCGTCAGAGCAAGAGAAAAACCTCGATCAAAGCCAACACCATAAACCCCGTCTACAATGAAAACCTTCGGGTGAGTCCACGTTTGCTCCGGTCGTACTTTTGATTGTGTGAAAGTTGGATTCAGTCGTTTCTTTTCCCTTTGACGCCTGCAGTACGTCATCAGCCACTCGCAGCTGGAGACCCGGACTTTGCAGGTCTCCGTCTGGCACCACGACCGCTTTGGGCACAACAGCTTTCTGGGTGAAGTGGAGTTATCCTTTGATTCCTGGGAGTTCGACACCCAGATAGAGGAGTGGTACTCGCTCCAGCCCAGGGTAGAAAGCCAGACTTGCATCTAAGCAGCGTGTGGTTGTAAATGTAAATATGACAGAGTTCTATGTGTAGATGGAGAACTGCATAGACGCCACAATGCAGTACAAAGGGGAGCTGACGGTGGTTTTGAAGTACATTCCGGCGGAGAAGAATCTTGCGCTGCCTCTGGATCAAGTGCAACAGGGTACAAATCTATGTGAGACCTTTTCATTGACGTTGGATGAATAATGCATTATGCCTGTAGGGGTTTATTGACACTAACTTTCTGGGGTTATGCTCTCAGAAAATGTCACATGTTTTATTCCCTCTGTTACTCCCCCTGAGTTTATTAAAGGCTCAAAATTTAACAGACTTTTAACGGGCAGATGTAGGGGCCAGACAAATAGAAAGAGGAAGGGGATTTTATGTGTATGTGTGTATCTATGTTTTTGACAAGAAAAAAAAGACAGTGAGAGGGAGAAAGAGAAAAAGAAAAGAGTCAAAAAATTAAAAAATATGAAATAAAAAAGAGAGATAAAGAAAGAAAAGAGAAGAAAAAGTATTGGAGATTTTTCCCTTTATCCTGTGTCTCTAAATGTTACTTCCCTATATCATTAAATACCTGAATACTTTTCTCGTAATCCACTTTGAGCCTAAATGCAAGATTTGCCCGAATGGTGTGCGTTTGTGCAGGAGGCGGGACATACAATCTGTCGATCACTATACTAGTGAGCTTTATGTGATCCAAGGCTAAAGAAAACTAGTCAATTTTTTTTTTTTTTTTTTTGCAAAAGTCAAATAAAAAGGAATACTAGTTCACCCGCATTATGAGTAGGTGGAGAATTTGGGTTTCACTGGTGCTTTGTAAACACACTTACTTATGAAGATGTACCTTATTACGAGGAGGACGCCGTAGCTCACCTGTAGCCCTTTGAGACCAGCCGTCCCTGATTACTTCTATCTTTTGTCTGGAATTAGAGTCTTCTTTTTTGTTATGTAATCAATCAGTTAAAGCTGAGGTACCATACTTTTATTTTTACAAAAAAAAGCCTTTTAAAGTAAAATGATGTGAAGTAAACATGCCAACTTTATCTTACTAGAAAACATGTCACATGA